CCACCCGGTCCGGCGGCTGCAGCATCAAACGCGGCCGGCCCCCTCACAGTGTGCCACCGGACCGGCCACCCGGTGGCACCTGCAGTCCCCAAATGCCGCCCACAATCCAGCCCTGCCGCCGGGCCCCCTGAAGGCGGCCCTGGCGGCGGACCCCCCTCCCGGCCGGGCCCTCGGACCGTGTCCGAAGTGCCCGACCGGTCAGTCCGCCCCTGTTTACTCCTTATTCTTATGCATTGGATGACTGTATATTACTATTCAAACCAGTGGAGATTTCTCCACAACAAAAATAAAGAATTATAAAAAAAACAAAACACTTCTTCATAAAAGCGTATCAATTAAACTGTTAATAGCTCCTGACTGATTCCTCTTCTGCAACTGTCACTAGTCTAATACTATCCTTACCTTTTTGTGTCATTTTACCCCACTCCCTCTAGCATGTAAGCTCATTGAGCAGGGCCCTCAACCCCTCTGTTCCTGTGTGTCCAACTTGTCTGGTTACAACTACATGTCTGTTCGTCCACCCATTGTAAAGCGCTGCAGAATTTGACGGCACTCTATAAATATCATAATAATATTAATAATAATAATAATAATGGTTTCAGAGTGTTACTCAGTTTCAGTGGTACCCACTTTACTTTAAAGCACACTCCTGTCTAGTTCCACTGTCAGTTAGCCTGATTACCAATTCACTATGCTTAGACTTGTCTTACCCTTTTGTGGCTGAATGCCTATTCCACACAGACAGGTCAGATAAACTAGATAGATATATCTTGTCTTACAACTCCAAAATGAAGCAGAAATAGATTGGAGATAATCTCTTGCAGTAGAACACTTCACCCAATATCTAGATAGCCTCCCATACTTTGACTGTTGATGCCATAATCTCGTTCTAGATAGATCTCATAAGCATGTTTATAAACCTGTAATTTTACTTTCTTTAACCCCTTAACGCTGTTACGGCGTTTTATGCCGTCGCGGCTTTAAAGCCGTTGCGGCGGCATAGAACCCCGTAACGGCTGCAGCCCCCAGGACCTCGGCGGTACTTACCTCCGCCGCGATCCTCTTCTGGAGGGCTGCCTGACAGCCCAGGTAGCCCTCCTCCGGCAAGTGAGGCCCCCGGGGGCCATGTGATCGCTCTCAAACAGCGATCACATAGCCCCCTATAGCTGGCTATGGATCTGCCAGCAGGGGGGCTGTCTAAAATATCAGACAGTCCCCCTGCTGGTAGGTAGTTTTAAAAAAAAAAACATTAGACAAGTTTAAAATTAAATTAAAAGTATTTTTATATATATAATATATATAATATATTTTTATATATAGTATATTTATATATATTATATATATGTAACGTCATACATAGTGTATTTTAATATTAATATAAGTATATATATATATATATATATTTTAATATTAAAATACACTTAGAATGACGTTACATATATATATATAATATGTATATATATTATATATAATATGTATTATATATATATATATATATATATACACACACACACGTATAATTACAATAATAAATAAATAAAATAAATAAAATATTGAAACAAAATATAAATATATATTCATATGTAATTTAATTCTAACTGTATTTTGTTATTAATATATATATAGGTAACAAAATACACTTAGAATGACATGCTATATATATCTATATATAAAATACAAATAACAGCAAATAAATATATATATATATATATATATATATATATATATATATATATATATAGATAAATACATATAATTACATAAAATATTGCATTAGTATACATGTAGAATTTAAATACCTATAAATGCATATATATTAAAATTCTACATGTATATTTAAGTAATCTTTTAACATAATTATGTGATTTGATTAATTAAAATTTGATTGACATACCTGACAACACAGGGAGAAAGTGCAGAGAATTTAATTTGCAAGCACTATATTTGAAAAAAGAGAAAAAATCAGCGCTAAATTGCCACAATAAAATTATTAGGAAAGGCAGCACTCCTCAAAGGGGAGTCCCCAATAATCCACTAATGATAACAGATAACAAAAACAAACAAAGATATAAGAATGCGCCTAAAACTTAAAATTATGATAAAATAAAGGACTAAATTAGTTAGATAAAATACAGAATAAAATAAGTAATAAAACAATAGTCCAATAAAATGGGCTTATCACAGTCCATGAGGGTAGGTCCCACTTGTAAAGGAATATTCTTTAGGGTGTAGATGGGATCGTATCTTCAAATGTTGAAAATTCAGCATATGTGGAGAAAAAAATAAAAACAGGACTCCAATGGCACAGTAAATCAGTGTATAAAATAAATATAAAAATATAAAATCAGTCTTACTCACACTTTTCAGAGCTAGGATCAGCTCTGATATTGCTCGCGTAAAGTGGAATGATCCCCACTTCAAGGATATATGGAGTGAATTTTGATAGTTGAATATCTGACGTGGGATCAGCGTTCAATTTGACGTAATACGACCCAGAGGAAAAATGAAATAAAATATATAGTGCTCACTGTATGTAATCCAAAATAAAAAAAAAGTAAAGTATACTACTCACGTAAAGTAGAGCAGACTCAAAACTGCTCAGTGGAGGCGCTCGGGTGGTATAATCCCCACCTATGGATTCTTTGCACTTCCTGCAGGGTGAGCCGTATATGTAAAATCAAATAAAAGAAAATGTATGTAAAATCAAGTAAAGGAGAAAGCAAATGGCAATAAAGTATTTTATGCCAATAAAATATCTTTATTATAAAATTAAGAACAAAATCTATTAATATCTAAACGCGTTTCGCCTTAACAGGCTTCTTCAAGTAGATAGTAGGAAAGAGGGGCCCCCCCCCATTATCATTTGGCCCCCACCCGCCGCCCCGGGGTGGGAGGACTGTAGGTCCCCCCCCTCATTATCTTTATGGCCCCCACCCGCCGCCCAGGGACGGGGCCGGAGGGGGGTAGTAGCCCCCCCATTATCATTATGACCCCCACCCACCGGGGGCATAGGTCTCCCCTTATTTTTACTTTAGGGCCCCCACCCTCGAGGGTTTTTAGTTTTTTTTTTTTTTTTACAGTGAGCAGCCACAGGCTGCTCACTGTTTACCAGACATGCCCCTACTCGCGGTATAGTGAGTAGGGGCATATTATTTACTAATACTAAGCAATTTTTACTTGGGATTAGTAAAGTTGGCTGAAAGACCAATTTAGGTCTTTCAGCCTTTTAGCAGATAACTCCCTGATACCGTGGGAATGACATTCCGATCCGAATAAAATGCCGAATTGCGTTCTAAAAGAAACGAACATACTGTTCTCATTCAGTTAGAACGCAATTCGGCAGTTTTGTGTAAAGTGACAGGAAGCATCGTGGGAACACAGAGGGAAGGTGAGAATCATGGGAAAATTGCTCTGACCAGCGGAAATGAAGCACACTTTGCTCCTCCGCTGGTTAGAGCTGGTCAAGCGGAGGAATCCTCCATAAGGCAAAGAGTCCCTACTTTGTCTTATGATTTTAAAGAAAACTAAAGAAGACAGGAAGAAAAGAAGAACAGATCCTGAGAGGGGGGGGGGAGAGGAAGAGATTGAGGAAAGGTAAGTTCGGCATGACAGTGCCACTTTAATGCCATTTGGACTTTGTAATACTCTGGCACGCTTCAAAGACCTTACTAACAATGTCCATAATGTCCATTGTTTATCTGAAGAGGATTTTTATACACTTTCCATCAGGGCTGGACTAGGAACATTTTTTGGCTCTGGCATTTTTCAATCACAGTGGTCCCCTGAGAAGGGGGCGGGGCCAGAGAGGGTGTGTTTTGTCATCACTAATGACAAGCACACCCCCTCTCAAAGTGAGCATGTTGGTTCAATGCGCAGAGCCCAGCTGAAAAACTCTAGTATGAGAAAAAGGCCCTGCATTTATTCTGCACAGCGCAAGCAAATGTAATAACATGCTTGCACTGTGTTTGCTTTTAACTTGTCTCTGGTGTCTCCATGAGTGGGATACCAGAGGACAAAAGGGCCAGGAAAGCGTATGGTGCATGTGTTTGGAGCCTGCTTGTGGGATTGCGCGTGTGTAGAGTGAGCTGATTGTGGTGTGGTATTGTGTAAATGGAAACAGAATGTAACGGCAGATAAGAACCATTTGGCCCATCTAGTCTGCCCAATTTTCTAAATACTTTCATTAGTCCCTGGCCTTATCTTATAGTTAGGATAGCCTTATGCCTATCCCATGCATACTTAAACTCCTTTACTGTGTTAACCTCTACCACTTCAGCTGGAAGGCTATTCCATGCATCAACTACCCTTGCAGTAAAGTAATACTTCCTGATATTTTTTTTTAACCTTAATTTAAGACTATGTCCTCTTGTTGTGGTAGTCTCCTCCTTTACTGTATTGATTACCTTTATGTATTTCAATGTTTCTATCATATCCCCCTGTCTCGTCTTTCCTTCAAGCTATACAAGTTCCTTTAACCTTTCCTTGTAAGTTTTATCATGCAATCCATGAACCAGTTTAGTAGCCCTTCTCCGAACTCTCTCTAAAGTATCAATATCCCACTGGAGATATGGTCTCCAGTACTGTGTACAATACTAATAAGGGAGGTCTCACCAGTGTTCTGTACAAAGACATGAGCACTTCCCTCTTTCTACTGCGAATACCTCTCCCTATACTACCAAGCATTCTGTTAGCATTTCCTGCTGCTCTATTACATTGTCTACCTACCTTTAAGTCATCAGAAATAATCACCCCTAAATCTCTTTCCTCAGATGTTCAGGTTAGGACTCTATCAAATATTCTGTACTCTGCCCTTGGGTTTTTACATCCAAGATGCATTATCTTGTACTTATCCACATTAAATGTCAGTTGCCACAACTCTGACCATATTTCTAGTTTACCTAAATCATTTGCGATTTGGCTTATCCCTCCTGGAACATCAACCCTGTTACATATCTTAGTATCATCAGCAAAAAGACAGACCTTACCATCAAGACCTTCTGCAATATCACTAATAAAATTATTAAAGAGAATGGGTCCAAGTACAGATCCCTGAGGTACCCCACTTGTTACAAAAGCATGCTTTGAATATACTCCATCGACTATAACCCTCTGTTGCCCGTCACTCAGCCACTGCCTTACCCATTCAGCAATATTGGAATCCAAACTTAAAGATTGCAATTTATTGATAAGCCTTCTTTGTGCAACAGTGTCAAAAGCCTTACTGAAATCTAGGTAAGCAATGTCTACTGTACCACCCTGATCTATTATTTTAGTTACCCAATCAAAAAAATCAATGAGATTAGTTTGGCATGATCTCCCTGAAGTAAACCCATGTTGTCTCTGATCTTGAAATCCATGTGATTTTAGATGTTCAACAATCCTATCTTTTAACATGGTTTCCATTACTTTCCCCACTACTGAAGTAAGGCTTACTGGCCTATAGTTGCCCGACTCCTCCCTACTACCTTTCTTGTGAATGGGCACAACATTCGCTAACTTCCAATCTTCTGGGACTACTCCTGTTAACAATGATTGGTTAAATAAACCGGTTAATGGTTTTGCTAGTACACCACTAAGCTCTTTTAATAGCTTTGGGTGTATTCCATCAGGTCCCATTTACTTATTTGTCTTTACTTTTGACAGTTGAAATAGAACCTAATACTAAAACATATAATTTTAAAAAGGCCAATTTCAATAAGTTAAGGGAAGCTTGGTGTGATGGCCTGGTCTTCCAAAAAAAAAAAAGTTAAAGGGACACTATAGTCACTAAAGAAACTACAGCTTATTGTATTTGTTCTGGTGAGTATAATCACTCACTTCAGGCTTTTTGCAGTAAACACTGTCTTTTCAGAGAAAAGGTAGTGTTTACATTACAGTCTAGTGATAACTCCACATATTGCTACTAGAGGTGCTTCCTGGGGCAGTGCTGCACACTGTACAGTATTGCCATTCAGTGTTTTCAACCTCTGCATGGGGACACTGAACTTTCCTCAAAAAGAGATGTGTTGATTCAATTAATGAGAAGATGCTGATTGGCCAGGGCTGTGTTTAGCTTGTGCTGGCTCTGCCCCTGATCTGTCTCCTTGACAGTTTCAGCCAATTGTATGGGGAAGCATTGTGATTGGCTCGGACCACTACTTCTGATGTCAGATTCAGAGGTAGCAGCTGCAGACTTGAATACAAGTAAAATGTTACTTACTGGGAGGAAAGAGGGGACCAGGGAGGATAGATGGTGGTTTTAACACTATTGGGTCAGGAATACATGTTTGTGTTACTGACCCTATAGTGTTTCTTTAAGCATTTCATAATGATAAGATCTTTATGAAATGCTTACACGGAGTGTGCTGGAATTTCATTGAAATTCTAAGGAAGACGAACAATGTCTTAAAACATAGTATGGTCTACCTTGTCTTATGGTAAATCCATAACTTGACAAAAATGTAACAAAAAGATGGAGCTACCGCCGTCAAATGATTTTTTTCTTCCTCCAGCTGTTGCTAGGAGTACGGCCTTTTCTTCTCTTTGCCACAGAATACCTGTATCTATGGAGGCTTCCGCATGATCACCATAGGCACTATAGTTGTACTCTCGAGCATGTGCGAGAGTATAGCTCAGAAGTGGGCTCCTGGAAAATGAAGCACCGGAGCTCAAGATCAAAGATTTCTGGAGCCATGGGGCACAGCATCAGGCAAGTATAACTCATCTTCACTGTATGCTCAGGCCACAGCACCCCAAGTGGCAATGTCATCACCGGGGGTCTTTGCAAAATATGTCACTTTCCATGAGTCCAGTAGAGGTGGTTGCACAGACCCGAACACATGAACTGAAAATAGGAAAAAGGAAATTAAATGGTTTCATCACAAATTGTGGATACGTTTTAAATTTTGTATGTTACATATGCTTTATGTCTGTCTCAAACAGAGTGCATAGGCTACAGGTCCACAATGAGTGGATCCACTATTCTACTTGAGGTGTGTGCACCAAAGAACACACACACCTCCACCAGCAACCACTGGACCTCCAGAGAAGCACTAATTCCCCTAGTAGTCGCAGCAATGCCATACTACCTGAAAGCAGGGAAAAAAGTTTACATAGGCAAGTTCCCTCTCCAAATATAGTCAGGAAACAACATTCCCAATGCACTTGATCTCTGGAAAACCTCTAATATTTATATGGAGCATGTAGCACATAATGTGAATCTTTTGGTATATATGTAAAATTTAAAGAGCTCTACATAGTATGTAAAAGAGAGCTGAATACAGTTGACATAGTGAGTTGTATGCATTATGTAGTTCTCATAACTCTCAGGGTTATTTGCTAAACAGACAACTTTCGGGAATGAGTAAAAAATGCTATATTTCCCTTATGATTTCACTGGTTTATTCACTAAACTCCAAATTGAAGTGAATTTAAATATGAATTACAAACCTTTGGCTAAATTTGCCAAGCTGTGGCTATAGCGAAGATAGAGAATTTTCCAAATTTTTTAGTTTTACTACATTTTCACTAGCATTGTGTGTTTAAAAATGAGCTTGCATGTACTAACTGTGAAGCAAATGCAGAACATTGTGTTCTGCCGTGTGTTAACGAATGCCTCTGTGCTGATGGCTGAAAACTGAAAATTCACTTTGAAGTCCTGACAATTCACACTTTGGTGAATGCCTCTGTCAGTGTGTCTCCCTCATAAAAGTGATACAGCAATGTGTCCCGAAATATGGTACGGCAGGTCTACCCCTGTGCATCATCCCTTTGTGCTGATCAGTGTGTACGGCAATGTCAAGAGTGTGTGTCCAACATGCTAATGGCATATCATTTTGTGTCCCACAACATATTAGTATGTGTGTTTTAATGGTGGCTGATCAGTTGACACTCCTGTGGCAGCCAAATGGAATTTAAAGACCTTCAAAAAGCATCAAAACAGTATAAATCCCACCGGAAAATGGCAGGACAGTATAGGTCACTCTATGCAAGGTCTTCCACCAATACAGTATGTATTGTACCACCTCACCTCACAAGTGGCGGCTACAGGAAGTATGTTCCAGTATGCAAAATTCCCTAACCTTTGCCAACAGCATAGGAGTACGTACCGACCCACCATGCTAGTAGCCACCTAGAAAAACACCATTCTCTAATAGAAACTGACTATTGCACCCGCTTAAAAAAAAATAAAAATAGTGGGTCTCCAAACCCCAGGCAGAGTGTCTCGTATGAGGACAGCAGTGCAGACAACTACTCATGCCCACAGTGTGTTTTCCACATGCCACCAGAAAAGCAGTCAGCTCTCTACTCTGCTCCTTTCATTGGTGGGAGAGTAGTGTGTCACCCCCTTGTCAGAGGGAGCAAAGAGTGGTCCCCCCTTGTCAGAGGGAGCACAGAGTGAGTCAACCCCTTGTCAGAGTTAACACAGAGTGAGTCAACCCCGTGTCAGAGGGAGCACAGAGTGTCACCCCCTCCTTGTCAGAGGGAGCACAGAGTGGTGCCCCTCTGTCAAAGCGAGCACAAAGTGGTCCCCCCCCTTGTCAGAAGGAGCACAGAGTGAGTCAACCTCTTGTCAGAAGGAGCAAGGAGCACAGAGAGTCACCCCCCCTTGTCAGAGGGAGCACAGAGAGTCACCCCCCTTGTCAGAGCACAGAGTGGTCTCCCCCTTGTCAGAGGGAGCACAGAGTGAGTCAATTCCTTGTCAGAAGGCGCACAGAGGGAGCACACAGTGTCACCCCCCCCTTGTCAGAGGGAGCACACAGTGTCACCCCCCCTTGTCGGGGGGAGCACACAGTGTCACCCCCCACACAGTGTCACCCTTGTCGGGAGCACACAGTGTCACCCTGTCGGGGAGCACACAGTGTCACCCCCCTTGTCGGGAGCACACAGTGTCACCCCCTTGTCGGGGGCACACAGTGTCCCCCCTTGTCGAGCACACAGTGTCAGTGTCAGGGGGCATACGGTGTCCCCCTGTCGGGGGGAGCACACAGTGTCCCCCCCCCCCTTGTCAGGGGGAGCACACAGTGTCACCCCCCCCCCTTGTCAGAGGGAGCACAGAGAGTGTGTCACCCCCTTTGTGCAACTAGTAAAGAATAATCCAGTGATGGTAGTTGAGGCATTCACCCCCCCATCCCCTGCCAATTACTTCAATGTTCCCAGGCAGTTTAGCAGTGCCACCCTTTGCCCCTGTGCCAGTGGTTTAGCAATGCCCCCACCCCCCAGTGTGTTTAGCAGTCTGTGTCTCAGAACTCCCTCTCACCCCCAGCACTGGCAGCAGTTCAGTGTCTCCCCGTCCCCCATTCCAGAGACATAGCAGTGTCCCCCCCTGCACACTGTCAGCACACTGTGTGTGTCCCCCCCTGCACACTGCGTGTGTCCCCCCTGCACACTGTCAGCACACTGTGTGTGTCCCCCCTGCCCACCGTCAGTGCAGTGTGTCCCCAGCCGGAGCAGTGCAGTGTGTGTGTCCCCCCCCAGCCGGAGCAGTGCAGTGTGTGTCCCCCCCCAGCCGGAGCAGTGCAGTGTGTGTGTCCCCCCCCAGCCGGAGCAGTGCAGTGTGTGTCCCCCCCCAGCCGGAGCAGTGCAGTGTGTGTGTCCCCGGTCCGGCGGGCGGCAGAGCATGGTGTGTCCCCCCCGAGCCGGCGGGCGGGCGGCAGAGAGCAGAGCAGGGCGGGCGGTGTGTGTGTTGTTGTGAGAGGAGCTAACATGGCGGCCGTGCCTGTGTACTGTATCTGCCGCCTGCCCTACGATGTCACCCGCTTCATGATCGAGTGCGACGCCTGCAAGGACTGGTTCCACGGCAGGTAGGGAGCGGGGAGCGGGGTGTGGGACCCGGGGTGTGGGGGGGGGATGGGGGGAGCGGAGCCCCCGGGCAGGCGGGCGGGCTGTGTGAGAGAGAGACGGCGGGCTCCCTGCACGCTCCCTCCCCGGCCGGCCAGCCAGCGCTGAGGGCCACACTGGGGCCCCTCACACAGCCCGCCACAGCCCGGGCTCCCTCCTTTTATGTGTTTTATGGCCGGGGTTTGGGGGCGCTGCATGGAGGGGGCCGAGGGGGCTGCAGGCTGTCACTCACTCACAATGTAAATGTTTTACAGACCCCCCACCCCCCCCCCATTAGTTTCTATTGTGCTCTGGGGAGGTTGGGGTCTCCCTGTGATAAACTCTGTGTTTTACTCTCACACTGGGAGCTGATAGTTATCTGGAGGGTGTAACTGGGTGATAATGAGTTAATCATTTTGGGGGTATAAAAGAGGGGGGAATATGGTGGTCTCACAACCCAAAAATAAAAACCAGCTGCGACCTGCCAGCATTTCACTCCCTGGACCTTTATCTGCCGTCAAACCCTACAAGCACTATTTTTTTTTTTCTCGCTCTCTCTTTCTTTCAACCGGGACATTTTTGTTTTTATTTATGTGTCTCGGGTGACAATTAATGTCTTCCCCCACCCCGAAATGTAACAATTTGCTCCGTTTTGTAAAGAATTAAAGAGGACAGGTGGATCTTAACTCGTTCTACGCTACAATATGCCAGCGATTTGTTTATTCTCCTCCGTGCAAGAAGGAAAACGGCGTACGGTTTTAACGGTGACTGGGAACAAACACTGGAGTCCCTCGCCCAGAGGTGGCGAGGTATTAGTTCTGTTTGTTTTTTTGTGGAATTGACAGACTGTCGTCTCCATCCCCTGCTTGTTGTTTTTCCTCTTTTTTTTTGCACAGCTCTTTTTGTTAACAAGCCATACGTTTCTAAATGTCTGAACGGCTTCGTTGACGAAACAAAAACAGCGTTGATGAAGAACGTCTTAGTGCATATGGATTTTATTTTTATATTTTTCAGTTTGTTTTTTTTAAACTAACCCAGCTTTCGTTTAAATCCTGCAAAGAAAGTTATCTTGCAACCTTGGACTAAAACATCAGGATCTCCATTGGGCGCAGCCATCCGTTTAAACACAGTTGTGGGGAGATTGGTGGGTGGGTGTTTGAAACGTTAACCTCTTTGTCACTAGAGGATCTCACTACATATTGTTGGTTTTTGAATTCAGGGATGCGCGGTGTCAAGAAGCAAAATAATCAAGCAGAAACCCTATGGAAAAAAAAGGGGGATGAAACCATGCTAGATTACTCACACCATATAAATAGTACGACCCAGCGGATTAGCCACGTTCTATAGCAGCCTGGCATTGTGGCAAAGAGTGTTTTGGTGGCACGTCAGCCTTCCTGTCTCCAGCTGTTGTGGCTGTGACATCTCCAGGCAGTCAGAGCCCTACCATCAGGAAGAAAGCTGGCTTCTCTTGCAGTGGGCTCTGAATGGTTTTAGTGGCAGTGAATGGGGGATCAGCTGGTCTAGAGCAGCCTGCTTCATTGACAGACAAACAATAAGATCCTTGTGCTCTGTTAACCTCTTCCTGGCACTCAGGCTGCAGGGTAAAAAAAAAAAAAAGCTAGACTATCAAGGCTACATCCTGCACCAGAAAAAGGAGAATATTTTTGCCAAGAAAAGGATTACTCACTAATACAAGATTTGTAGAGTTTTTATATTTTTAAGGGGGAAAAAAGGCTGCAGGATAGCACGGAGAGGATATAATCAATATAATCTAATCAAAGTGGCACTTCACACCAGCATCATTAGGACCAGTGATCTCTGCTAATCCCAACTAGGTGTATTATGATAGTAGAATATCGGTACTCTGTTCTATTAGGACCCCTGAGAAGAAAAGTGATTTGTTTTATTTATATTTTTGACTGAGCGTTTTATTTATAATAAAGTGTTGAACCAGGGAGATTACATTGAGATTTCTCTTGTTTTTAAACATGCTGTATAGGAAATGATGTGCGTTAGAGGATAACTTGTAGCATTGTTTGGGCTTTGTATGGAAAACAATCCTTATGGGTGAAATAAGGCAGGTTTTAATAGGACAGGGCTAAGGGCATGAACCGATGTCGTCCTGTTTTCAAGGGACTAGTTTATATATTTTTGTATTATCTGTATTTTGTACATTTTCTTCCATGGGTTTCATGTCTATTATAAACGAGTTCAATATTGTGCTTTGTTCAGTATTTTTGCTAAGCATTTTAAGTGTTCATGCCGATTTTATTAGTGAGAGCTAAGATATGGCCTATAGAATGACTTAGAGCTACAACGATGCACTGCGGTCTGTTATGAATATAATATTGCAGATGCAAGACACAGAGACAGCAAATTACTGGTTCTCAGTAGCAAGCTGTAATTGTCACCTAGCCTACAAAGATTAGAAATCCCACTGGATGCCAGGCTCCTGCCTCACCAATATCAGCACACTTTTTTTTTCCGCTAACCCATCCTCCTGGTTCTATTTTCTTCTAGACCAGTAATTACGTAATCGAGAGAAGATCCGATTCAGCTCTTTCGTAGGATCTATTCCCTTACTAGTCTGGCAATGAGAGGGTTACAGTGTACCTTTCAATATAACTAACCTTGTAATAAAATGTAATACAGCTTTATTAACTACTTCCAGACCAGGGTTAGGCTATTTCTTTGTTATGATGGCACTCCTAATGTGCCATTGGTCCTGAATGGGTTAAATGTAAATGTTGGTCGGTGGATTTACCGATAAATGAATTTAGCAGTCTTATTGCATATTAAAACCGAACCGACGTATCTCACCGTTAAATTGCATTCCCGCTGATAAATATTAACCCAAGGGCAGCACAGGATCATACCATACATTCCCATGTCGTTTGGAGGCTATTTTACCTAGGTTTATAAGAATGTTGGCATCTATGTGGTGGAGTGTCTTTCAGTGTTAAATCTTTAGTTGTTGGTCTGTAGAAACAAGCTGGCTCATTTAATTGAGATGTAACGACCAGTCTGTAGCTTGGCTTCTTATAATAAGTCAAACATTTCTTCCTTTACACGCTAGACTAGAATTGCTTAAATCCGTATGTGTCAGTTTCAGTATTTAGGCTGTTTCTATTATCTGTATACGCAGGCAGTTGCAATTTATGGTGGTCACACTGAAATACAAAGCATACCGTTATTGTGTTCAGCACTAAGCTTTAGAACGTTGATAGAGGAAATGCCAGCCAGTGGGTACTAAGCAGGATGGTCCATATTTATTGCACCAAGTGAGACAGCATGATAATAGAAAGCTGTACATCCTTACACAAAGATGTGTACCATTGCTAACAGACGTATAGTTTAAATAGAAAAATTAAATTTTGCTCCCACTTTTTATTGAATACCTTGAAGAGTAATCACTAGACGTCCCAGCTACTAACCAAAAGGCACAGACCCCGCTTACATCATTTTAAAAATTTTATTTCCCATGGCCATGAACAATTACAATGAAAATATGTTTGTGTGTGTGTGTATGTATATTATTATTTTATTGATATTATACTTCAATGAAGCATGTAAGACACTTGAAAAAATTCATAATTCAGTAGTTATCTGCCAATATATTCTTTTCTGAAGTGACCACTGCTGAGAAAGGAAAAATAGTAATTTAAAAATATCTTTGAGGGACATTCCATACAGCATTTGTTATAGAGATTGGCCTATGTCAGGGGGAGGAGGCTGCTCCACACGTTGTGGATTACATCTCCTATAATGCTCTTACAGCCATAATGCATCATGTGAAATGTAGTCCACAACATCTGAAATACCGAAGGTTGCCTACCCCAGCCTATATACATTTCTAACAGTGTAGCAATCACCATGGATCATGGAAGCCAGTGCAAAGCCCTCACATATTTCTCTTGTTTCCCTAGTTTGTGCTACTACTAATTTTTTTTTTCTTTTAAATTCTTT